TCTTGCAAGTAATTCTGTCCTGAGGCTACATGACCCATTGGTCACTCACCTGCCCCAAATCTTTCTTTCATCTCTCCTGCCTCTTTATCTGGGGGCATGTTCTGCTTCCCTCTACCATCACTCAGGACAACTCTGATGTAGAAGGTCAGTGCGGAATCTCTACATTAGACATTGTGGTGTTGCTAGAAGCATCACAGGGCCTTGTGGGGCCCCGAGAGGAGCATGTGGGGGCTGGAACCCACAGATCAATCTGTGCCTCTGACCTTGGAGGATCATGGGGACACAGGAGCACATGGGGGCCAGAACCCGTGGGTCCGTCTGTGCCTCTGTCCTCAGAGGTTCGTGGGGCACAGCAGCACGTGGGGGCCGGAACCCATGGGTCTGTCTGTGCCTCTGACCTCGGAGGATGCACTTCACCTCTCTGATGCTAATTTCCTCACTGGAAAGTGTCCATGGTGCAGCCACCTGGGCCGGGCTCTGAGGACAGGTTCTGGGAAGCATCGCATTTCCTTCCTTTCTCACGGTGCGTTGCCTGGGTCTGCCTTCCAGGAAGCGTGAGCAGCTTGTGACATTGAGAAGACTCTTCGCTAAGCAAAGGAAAGCAAGTGTGGCGCATGCCACACGGTGATCGCAGCACCCTGTGTTTTATTGAGGGCTGTCACAGACCCTCTCAGATCCATCCGGAACCCTCTGGGCCACAGGGGAGCAGGGTGGCCATTTCTCTGAAGCTTGAAGTGATTTCAGAGGCATCAGAAAGGGCGCCTGTGTTGTGTTTAGTCAGGGCAGTCTGCGCTCTCCAGGCAGCACTCGGGGCACCACACACGCCATCCACACGCCCACTGCTGTGGCCGGAGGTCCACGGCCAGAGGAGAGCTGGATGTTGACTTGGAGGAAGTGCCAGGGCACAGAACGCAAGACCACCTCATTGCTCCCCAGGGAAGGTTTACGAGGCCTCAGGGCCACACATGAGGGGGCACTGCCATCATCGAGCTCCAGCAGGTAAGAAAAATGACTCGTAAAGTACATCCTGCCAGAAGGGACCTAAGTGACAGGCTGAAGTGAGGAAGCCCCCACCGAGTCGCCTTGGTGAAAGACGGTGTTTGTCCAGAGAATGCAGAAGCGCATTTCCGTGTGCGAATGGATGATTTCCAGCACTCCTCAGTCGAAGGCCCAGCTCTGTTTTGGCGATGGAAGTGTGAGCATGATGTCAGAGGTGGGTACCGTCAGTTCTGCAGCATCCATCAGCCTCACACCTGGGATGGGAGGGCCTCCAGCCTCTCCCTGGGGAGCTATTCAGTTTGGACCATGGGAAATAAAGATGCTAGATCGAGGAAACTTATGGTCACATGATTTCAGAACATCTCAGGGTGCAGACGGTGCTGTAGCTCTGTGACCGCAGCCAAAGCTGGCCTCCTAGGCCATGCTGCCCATCCCTCTGACAGTTGGCAGAGCCAACGGTTCTCCTGCCTCATACAAGGCAGCTGGGAAAGAGAGACGGAAGGAAAGAATGAGTGTTCCTGTGTCTCTTTAAGCACAGATAAGGGCATTTCTGAGGTCACTGAGATGGTCACTTAATTTGAGAGGCCTACTCCTCCCACACATTTCTTCCATGCTGTCCCAGATGCTGAAGACATGCTCTACCCACAGCCTCTCCAGGCAACAGGGTGCTTGCCTCATAAGGCTGCCAGACTGTGGGTAGGAACGTGCAGAGGTATGGTGGTCTCCTCTGTCCACAGGGGATGTGTTCTGACGGCCCTGGTAATACCTGAAACCTCAGCCAGAACCAACACTTGTAGGTAGATTTTCCTACTGTCGTCGGAGTCATGGATGGACTCAAACATTTTCCAATTGGATGTCGGTTGAAAGGGTTAAATTATTCTCTAAAGACCTGGAATCCATAGAAAGCGATGTCTGGGTGGAGATAAGGGCCGTGGAGGCCCGGTTCCCACTGTGCAGAGGAGGCCTGCAGGCAGCAGGCTGCAGAGGGAATGGAGGGCAAGTGCTTCTGATCAGAGTCAGTTCTCTTCTGGATCTGGACAAAGGAAGAAGGAAGGGGATTCTCTTCAGAATGTACATTTTCCCTGCAAGAGCTGGCTTTGCTGGACTATTTCAAGATATGTCCAAAAAATAAATAAATAAAACCCAGACATTTGGGATTAAAATGTTTTGATTTCCTTCTTTATCTGCCACGTGATGTGGTGCCAGAATCAGTTTGGAAAGCGAGCCACGTGCTGTAGGGTAAAGAAAACCCTCTAATGAGACGCCACAGTTTGTGGGGCATGACTGTTAGATGGCAATTTGGGGCAAGAGAAGAAGAAAGCCCCAGCGCGGCGCTCCCTGCGTCCACGCACCCATGAGGAAGCTCAGCTTGCCCATCACGCGTGGTCACCGAGTAACCGTACTGAACTCGGCACTTAGAACCGTGTACCGGAATAGGAGGAATGTGAATGTGATCTCTGTTTCTGTCATAGTTGCTTACTCCATACCTCAGCTGACTGAAGCCACAGGAAGGGAACCCCTGAGATGTGGGGGTGTTGCCCCATACAAGATTTAGGCTGAAAATGCAAAGCTTCCTGAGACAAGGAAGGACGGGAACCGCAGTTATAGCGACACACATGCTAAATTAACCTCTCCCAGCTCTAAGGCCACACCATACTCAGAAACCTTTGCGTACCCTCAGCCCAGGCTGGATTTTTAACTTTGAATGGTGTTGCCTGGGCCACACGGCTCCCACACCTCCCATTTTCTCAGCTGGTAAATAGCGAGGACAGGAAGAGATTCGTCGGTGAAGCACTTCTCCTAAAATTCAAGGCTGACCTTCAGACGTGCCCACTCCTCATCCCTGAAGGGCTGTTCTCGAGAAAATCAGGGTGTTCCTTGAGGAAAGTGCAGGCTTCCAATGGCAAGCTTGTGCTGTGCGTGAGCACGTGGCTTTGCCAAACTCCATGTCTGCTGCTGCTGGCCCTAGAGGAGCACTCCTGCGCGTCACTGCAACTGTGTGATGCTGACTTATCCTTCCAGTCTGCCTGTGAGAGCTCCTGCCTTGTGTGTGTGTGTCTGTGTGTGTGTCTGTGTGTATGTGTGTGTGTCTGTATGTGTGTGTGTCTGTGTGTGTCTGTGTGTGTCTGTGTGTGTCTGTGTGTGTGTCTGTGTGTGTGTTGAAACTCCAGCATAAGGAGGGCTGAAGTTGAGGGTTCATTGTTTTCCATTATCCCCAAATTCTGTTCTCACCCAGCTGGATGCTCTGTTCTCACATTAATCACACATGTGATGATGATCTCCATGGAAACTGTGCTTAATTAGAACTGTCCATCATCTTTCTACATGAATGAGGCCATCCCAGCCTTTGGTTTCATATTATACATAATGTGGTCATTTGGCAGATGTATCTCATTAGCTGAAAATGCAACTTAAAGTATGCAGAAAGTGCTGTTCGCCTTTAAGAAATGGGGCTGAGTTATGTTAAATCATTTGAATCAACTGTCTTGTAAAATACTTAACCTAGTTCAGATAGCTACTTCTCATACATATATATATATTATTTTTTAAAGCAGCAACTGGGAGATTACTTCCAGTTGCTGATCTTACTTCACATTTATTTGAGAGGCCATCATATTCTCTTCCTCAGCATCTCACATTGCCAAATCTTCATCTTCCTTTCCTAGCCTCCTACCAACTTGTAGAAAATGGCAGATGCTGATTTGCTGGTTGTGATTCCAGTGTCGGTGTCTCCAGCATCATGTTCTGGAGTCAATCCTTTTGCAGGCTACAGCCTGGCTAACTGCATCTAACACTTGGGTAGGGCATGCAGGCACATGTGAGATGCACCTCAAAGCCTGTCCATGAACATTGGAAACCTACATGTGTGTGCAAATATATGCCTGGATTCTAAATATGCAATCATATAATTATATTTTTGAAATATATGCCAAATGGTGACAAAGATGTGTGTCCATGTGTGTACATGCATGTGCCATCCTTCTGATACATTTCCCATAAATAACATGTTCACATGCACGTGGAACCTGGTGCCAAATGCTCTCTTACCTGACACTCCCTGACCCCCTCTTCAGGCCCCTCCCATGCCTCTCACTGTGGCTGGCGTGAGCAGAGCCTCCCTGGGATGATGCTGTGTCTACACCACATTTGCAGCCAGGTAGAAAGCAAGGCAGCCTAAAGAGTCAGCACCTGGTTTCCTGGGCAGAGCCCATAAGAGGAGAGGCACTGGATGATACTCTGTCCAGCTCCCCAGGGACTAGTTAGATAAAATCACAAGTGTGTCTGTCTCCACAGTCCTGTGGCCCCACACGTGGAGGGAGGACAGAGCTCGATGACCCCCTGACCTCTGGCAGCCACGTGGTGATGTCCTTCTAAGAAAGTGATGTCTGCTTTTGTGTCAGCACAGAGTGAACAGTGGAAAGTCAATACCAGCGACCTGAAACATCTCCCGACAGAGGGAAATGAAATCTGTGTTCTGGTCGAAGTGGACCTAATGCGAACTAATATTAAGCACTAAGACCATAACCACAGGCTTTGAACATTGCAAAATGAGGCTTCGAATAGCATGAAGCTTTCTAGACAGTAAGGGAAGTCTTTATCATGGGCGAACTGGGGCCTTTGTGGGACTCACCCAGCTGGAAGGAACTGGGGAAAGTAAGAGTGGGCTGACTTTACTGAAGTCTGCTCCAATGCAAAGAAGACCTAATAAATTTGAAGTTAGGCCGGAGGTGAAGCTGAGAGTTGTTGGGACCCGCTGCTGTGTCCGTGTCTGTGGGAGAAATGTGTGCATCTGTGATCACAATGCTGCTTTACAGAAATGATGGTGGTTTCTGAGGTTATTGGCACAAAATGCTGGGCTGTGAGCAGTGACATCTGAAGAAATACGAAGTTGCCTGTCCTGTTTGAACTGTGTTGAGTGTGGCGGGTTTTGAAGATGTGCTGGGAGTGACTGCAGTCTACACCAGACACGCATTAATGAGTGACTTTGTTTCTGTCTTTGCAGAGGAAGAAGGTGGAGACCTGGTCCAGCCAGGCATCAGCTTTCCGGGGCCAGCAGAGGAGGATCTAGGTAGAGTACCCACATCAGCCCTGCTGTGGGGGTGACAGAACCCCACACACCGCGGGCATCTCCCGTCATGGGGCCTTCCCACCGTCACACGTTAGCATGTTTGCCTTTAGAGAGTGAGCTAAGAGCTAAGTCAAATAGGGCACCTTTTTCCAAAAATAATAGTTTTTAAACACTGTGAAGTGCTGGGTGGGGAAGGGCTGTTCCTGGCCCTCAGGAATGGAGGCCGCCATTCACATAATCGATACACGTCTCCAGAGGTGAAGGACCCTCCTTCCCTTGTGCCTCTGTGACTATGTGTTCGAAGCATCCTCAGGAAGCAGGGAGCTCCCACATCTGCACTTCTCACATAGCCCTTACCTGGCAGGAAGCAGCCGGCTACACACACCATGAGCTGGGAGCTGAGCACAAGCTGCGCTTCCTCCAGGGGCCCTGGGACAGGCTGGTGTGGTGTCGTTTCCCCAGTGCTGGTTAAAAGCACATGGAAATTTCATTTCTGAGCTGCCACCGACACAGGAAAGCTGGTGCCGTATTTGCCATCAGTCTTTTGACGTGGAGCTATGCTTACAAGAAGGCCAAATGCTTCTGCTAGAGATGTGGAATGTTGAATAAATTCAACATCAAACGGTTGAATAGAAGCCACGTGAAGCCACAGCTGAAGACGGAGGCCGTCAGTGGCTCTGGCACTTTGCTCCCTGTGGTTATTCTCCAACCTTAGAGATTGTCAGCCTCTTTCTCAAGCTGCTGAGGGCGTCCGCGGTGATGGCACTCAGGGCTGGGTCATAGGTCATGAGTTCATTTTATATAAATTTGCATTTTTAAAAACATACTTCAGACTTTTAGCCAATGCATCTGTTGCTGGTTTGACTGGCCTAAAAAAATAGTATTGAAAATGGAAGGAGTTCACTTTGTATAAAGTTATAATTTCTGTTAAAGAAAACTACAGCCAAAAAATGTTTGCTTTTCAACTGAAGATTATAAAAATGGGTAGAGTTCTAACAGATGACAGTACCATCCACTGCGACCGAGGCCTAAATTCATTGCCAACTGACATTCTACACAAGCCTTTCTTCACTCGGAAATAGGCGAGTGAAAGCATTTTGACTTCTCACCAGGGAGGAGCCGTGGCAATGGCGTGTGAGTAATTATGCATCTGTTTTTCTAACCCTCACTCTGGCAATGCTCCATCATGATTAATCTTCAGTGCTCGGCCTGCCTGGGAAGGCCTCCAGATGCACATGGCTCATTTGGCGCTTGCTTGCTTGAGGCTTTGGAGGTGGCTCGGCCGCATGCGCCCTGCGTCTGGACAATGTTAACGTCACAGTTGTGCCCGTGCCAGTTCTTCTCCATGGCAGTGACCATGCCCAGGGGCTGTCGCCGGGGCAGCGCGAGGTCCCTGGGGTGGCTCTGCTTGGGCACGGGCACAGTGGGAAGAACCTGGAGGCCAGAGCAGTGGGCACAGAACTGAAACAAGAGTGCAGGAGTCACTCTGCGGAGGCCGCTCTGCCCGGGTTCTCACCCCGGACTCCCAGGTTGGGAGTTCACGTTTTCCACAGCCACACGGAGTGAACTTCGAGGGGTGAGGCCGGGGCAGAGGAGGCAGAAGGTCACGTGGGTGGCTTGGTGCCTGCTGGAGTGTAGGGACAGAAAGCCTTTTGTCAGCTTAGCCTTTGTAAGTTTACAGTTCACAGCATTAAATGCATTCACGTCGCTGTACAGACGCCAGCACCTCCGTCTCTAGAACTCTTCCCTCTTCTGCAAGTAAAACCCATCCCATTAAACACTCACTCCCATTCCGTTCCCCCAGGCCCTGGCACCCCACTTCTGCGTCCGCCTCTGTGAATCTGACTCCTCTAGACTTCCCAGCAGTGGAACCACACAGGATTTGTCCTGGCGTGGCTGGCTCATGTCACATGGCAGAATGTCTTCTAGTTATGACACATAGCCGTTCCTGTGGAAGGCTGAGTCACGCTGCACTGTGTGGATGGACTGCACTGGCTCCCGTGCATCCATGGATGGACCCCTGGGTCGCTTCTCTCGGGCTTCGGTGAATGGCACTGCCATAAACATGGCACGCGGCTCTCCACGTCGCTGCTTTCGGCTTGTTTGGGTCAATGTCCAGAGGTGGAATTGGGGGATCCTGTGGTGAACCGAAGCATCCTCGTTATGAGGAGCCTCCACACTTCTTAGGGACAGGGGGTGCTTCCTGAGCTATCTCTACAGTCTTGCCGTGGGGCAGGGCTTGGCGGTTTAAGAATGAGGAGGGTCAGATGTTAGAAGCTTTGGAAAGAAAGAAATGGGGATTTGGTGACGGTTGGCTGAGAGGCTGCCTGGCTCAAACACATGCGTGGCTTTCCCCTCGAGGGTCAGTGCCTGGGTGGAGGACTTGGAAGGAGAGGCAGGAGCCGCTGTTGCTGTCTAGTGAGCCAAAGGAGCATGAAACAGCCACGTGCAGACGGGTGACCCATGGGATTCACACAGAAGCACAGCTCATGAGGGAGGTGGACGCGCTGGTTCCAATGAGTCCTTTTAGCCCATTCGTGGAAATATTAGATCTTCACCCTGGTTCTCTGTCAATCAGGATCACTTGGGAACGTTTAAAAAAACACCAATGCCCACTCCCCATCTGATGTATTTGTCTGAGGACTGACTTGACTGTTGTCATCTTTAAAAGTTCTCTACCTGATACTTTAAATGGAAGAAACACTTCTTTTTTGACTTTAAAAATGTTTTCTCTAGCTTTATTAAGTATATTCAGAGATAAAAATTGTATGTGTTTCTGGTGTACAACATGTTTTGATACAAGCGTCCGCTGTAAGATGAGTGAACGAAGCTCGGAGACCCCTCTGCCGCCCCCGTCCTTATCATCTTCCTGTGCTTGTGAGACGCTTAAGATCTCACCGCTTAGCCATTTTCAAGTACACAAACCATCACCTGTGGCCGCCACGTGGAACGTGAGGCCTCCCAACTTCCTCCTGTTGTCTGGCTGAAATGCAGCACCCTTCAGCCACCACCTTCCCAGGCCCCCCACCCTCCCTCTGGCGACCACCATTCTATCCTCTGCTTCTGAGTCCTCTGCTTTAGATCCCACGTGTAAGTGAGGTCATGCGGCATCTGTCTTTCTGTGTCTGGCTTTTTCCCCTCGGCATGACGTCCTCCAGGCTCATCCATGTCATAGTGCATGCCAGGATTTCTCACTTTTTAAGACTTAGTAGGGATTCCACTGCATGTAGACCAAATTTTCCTGATCTGGGACTCTGCTGATGGGCATGAGGTTGGTTCTGCATGTTGGCTGTGGGGGTCAGCACCTCAGCCAACACAGGAGTGCAGATAGCCTTCCACACGTTGATTTTGTTTCCTTAAATATCCAGAAGTGGGATTCCAGGATTATTCCTTTATCATTCCAGTGTACTCCTAGGATTGAGAATCCTGATGGATAATTAAGGGAAAAAGCCGAAAAAAAAAAAAAAAAAAAAAAAAAA